CATATGTAATTAATGAAGAATTAATAACAATTCGAATCCTGTTTCACCTGACTTACCAGCACTAATTATCTAGAGAAGTGCTATAATTCTCTACTTTACATATATTAGCTATTACTTCCATTAGCATAAATAAGAGGCTCAGAATTTTAGCTTAGGGCCGGGTGCAGTGGCTCATGCCTGTAATTCCAGCACTTTGGGAGGCCAAGGCAGGAGGACTGCTTGAACTGGGGAGTTCAGGACGAGCCTGGGCAACACAGGGAGAACTCCATCTCTACCCCCACAAAAAATGTTTTTTAAAATTATTCATTCTGCTCTAGAACAAAAAATAAAGAAAAAATAAAAAAGAAATTAGCCAAGTGTAGTGATATGTGTCTATTGTCCCAGCTAATAAGGAGGCTGAGGTGCACAGATCACTTGAGCCTGGGAGGTTAAGGCTGCAGTGAGCTGTTGTCATGCCACTGCACTCCAGCCTGGGCAACACAGCAAGATCCTGTCTCAAAAAAGAAAAAACGATTTTTACCTTAGAAGAAACTAGAGGAAAAGTTTACTCTGCTAGAAGATAATATTGTACCATCTTTTTTTTAAAGTATGTATGTACATATAAACGTATACAGAGAAAACAACATTCGAGCCTAGACAACTTTAACCAGTCAAACTAACATCAACATAGCAAGGCAGAAGAAATCTGGACATATAAAGACTTGAAATGATAAAAATACAAGAAAAGTAACTTCTGAAGAAATAAAGGCTAACTAACAGATGTTTATTATAAATATTAAACTTGCCAGGGGTGGTGGCTCACGCCTATAATTCCAGCACTTTGGGAGGCCGAGGCAGGCAGATCATCTGAGGTCAGGAGTTCGAAACCAGCCCGGCCTACATGGTGAAACTCCGTCTCTACTAAAAATACAAAAATTAGCCAGGCATGGTGGTGGGTGCCTGTAATCCCAGCTACTCTGGAGGCTGTGGCAGGAGAATTGCTTAAACCCAGGAGGAAGAGGCTGCAGTGAGTCGAGACTGCACCACTGCACTCCAGCCTGGGTGACAAGAGTGAAACTCTGTCTCAAAAATAAATTAATAATTAATTAAATTTTACCATCAGAAGTACATACTTCTATAGAAAAAAAGGCAGCAAGTACACTCTTGTTCCTACTAATCACCACCACAACTCTAACCATACAATAAGACATGGGGGAAAAGGTATAAACATTGAAAGAAATAAAACTACTGCCATTTACAGATTAACGTAATGGCCTACATAGAAAATTTTTAAAAATCAACTAAAAAATGACTCAACCTAATATCAGAAACTTTCTGGAAGAGAAGCCAATTCTACCGTGTATACAAAAGCAAAAATCTGCATGTAAAACCACAAAAATTCTAAAGACATAGTGTTAGATTGAGAAAAATGGATCATAATAACAGAAACCTATCTGTGTACTAATGTCAATACCACATAGTTTTAATTATATCTTTAATATATGTTAGACCAAGAAACCATGCCTACAATCTACTACATTATGTTTTCGGAATTTAGCATGATAAAGGTAGCATTTGAAATCAGTGAGGAATACAAAAACCTGTTCAGTAAATATTACTGAAGGGTTAGTACTTTATTTTGGGGAGGAAGGGAGGTGGAAAGCCACCCTCCACCTTACAACATATATAAAAATTAACTCCAGATGTTTAAAGAGCAGAATCTAAAAATTGCAAAGCAGAAGTATTAGAAGAAAAACACAGAAGATATTCATAAATATATTTTAAATTTTTAAGTAGAAAAGGCCTTTCTAAGCAAGACCTAGAAGCCACAAAAAAGACTAAATATTAAAAATTAAAACTTTTGTATGATGAAAGATATTCATCTTAAAGGTTAAAATCTAAGTGAAAAAAAGAAAATATATAATCCACTCCATTAAAAATCTAGAAATTGGCCAAACATAGTGGTTCATGCCTGTAATCCCAACAATCTGGGAGACCAAAGCAGGAGAATCACTTGAGCCAAGGGGTTCAAGACAAGCCTGGGCAACATGGCAAGACCATGTATCTACAAAAATAAATTAGTTGGGTTGGGTGCATGCAGCTACTCAGGAGGCTGAGGTGGGAAGATTGCCTGAACTCAGGAGTTCTAAGGCTGCAGTTAGCTATGATCACATTAGTGGACTCCAGGCTGGGCAACAGAATGAGATCCTGTCTCAAAGCAAAAAAAAACAAACAAAATACAGAAATTGGAAACTAGGTATTTTGCCCAACATGTAAAAATATAAGGAGAGCAATAACTTTTAGAGCTGGTGATAATGTAAAATAAAAGAAATTCTCAATACCATGCTGGTGATAATAAAAGCTGATGAGTCCTTTATCTCAAATTCTTATACCCTTTGACCCACCAATTTCCACTTCTAATAATCCATGCTAAATAAATATGCACATAATTATGTACAAGGACATTTACTATACTACTATAATGGTGAAAAAATTCACAGATTCCTACATAGTCATTAAAATGTTAATGGTGAAAACAATAATTATCATATGCAGACATGGAGCAATACTATTAAATGAGGTAAAAAGTCCAAGTTGCAGAACAATGGGTATGATATAAACCCATTTATGGACTAAAGAACAGTAAAACAAACAAGAAACCCTGCAAAGAACCATCCTGAAATGAATGTGTATATGTACACATAGAACTTTGGAAATTGTAGTTGTGCATAAAGGGAATTGATCCTTTCACGGGGATAATGGTTGAAATGAAGAATGGGTGGGAGAAAAGTGAAAGGGGATCTTCATATTTACTAAGTATATTTCTGTATTGTCTCAGCTTTGAAGAGTTCATTGTACATTATTTGTATAATTTGAAGAAGAAGAGGAGGAAGGCAGAAGAATAAAAAGAAAGAAAAACAAAAGAAGCCAAAGAGTCATAGCTCTCAACTTTAACTGTAAACTGTCCAACAGTTTCTTCTTACTGCAGTTTTCTTCTAAGTTGAAGCAGCACCAACTGGTAGAAAGAGATTCAAGTGATATCTGTACAAGGGCTTCGGTGTGTGACCTTAGAAATTCCAATACTGTCCTTTGGCAACAGGAAGTACAAATTTATGACAAATTAGCAAAATAATTCAAAAGCTCTTTGGCAGGAAGAAGGATATAGAAAGTAGCCAATAATATCCTCAAAAAAAGAATAAGCGGCCGGGCGCGGTGGCTCAAGCCTGTAATCTCAGCACTTTGGGAGGCCGAGACGGATGGATCACGAGGTCAAGAGATCGAGACCATCCTGGTCAACATGGTGAAACCCCGTCTCTACTAAAAATACAAAACATTAGCTGGGCATGGTGGCACNAAAAAAAAAAAAAAAGCTTCTTAATTATTACTTCATTTCATTATTTTCTCGCTAAATAAATTACTGGCTTACTATCAGTTCTTCAAGAGCTTTCATTACTAAATTTTATTTGCAACAAGATAGAGAAGAACCAACTTTATTTTAAGAAGATACTAAAACATATGACTAAAAATTCTCAAGCAAGGCCCAGGAGTTGAGAAGTCAAGAGATAACTTGTAGAATTTACAATTGAATCTTCAGTTTCATCTCATTAACACTGCCAGATACTGATATGTTATACTCAAATGTTAATAGAAATACACATTTCACAGCAAATATAATTACTTTTGGATTACCTAAATACTCTTACACCCCAGTCCCAAGAGAATTACCCGATATGTGTGAATATATATACATTAATGTGTGTGTGTGTGTGTGTACGTGTGTGTGTATACAGATGAATGATCAGATTAGTATGACAATGACAAGTCTCAAAGTAATTAGATTGAGAAATGTACTATACTTGTTATTTCATGTTTTTTGAGTTATCAAATGTCATTTTCCTACATTTAGAATCTATAAAAGTACAGGGAAAAAAAATTCTTGTCAAGTCTCATTCCCTTATAAGAAAATTAAAAAAAAAAAAAAAAAAAGAAAAAAAAAAAAAAAAAATAAAAAAAAAAAAAAAAAAAAAAAGGAATAAGCTCAGAAGAAAAAAGAAAATCAAACATACTTTTTATGCCCCAATTCCTGCAACATTTTTTTTTGCCAAGAGTAAGTCACAAAATTTTGGACATATAATTAATTTATATTTTTCTACATATGAGATCACTCATTATCAGGTTCTTCCCCAAATAGCTGTCTAGGGAAGACTTCTTCCTAGTCATTCTGAGGCCCTGCTATAAAAATAGTACATTAAAAATGGGTCAAATGATAAGTCACTGGGCAATTTTCCTAGCTTTATCCCAAGCTGGTTTTTAATGTTCAAGCAATATTAATTTTTAATAGGTTAATTATAAATTACTATTAAAAAGAGGAATAGGCTAGGAACCGTGGCTCATGCCTGTAATTCCAGCACTTTAGGAGACCAATTCCAGCACTCTGGGAAGCTGAGGCGGGCAGATCACTTGAGGTCAGGAGTTTGAGACCAGCCTGGACAAGATGATGAAACTCAGTTTCCACTAAAAACACAAAATCAGCCAGGCATGGTGGTGGGCACCTGTAATCTTAGCTACTTAGGAGGGTGGGGAAGGAGAATCACTTGAACCTGGGAAGTGGAGGTTGCAGTGAGCCGAGATCACGGCACTGCACTCCAGCCTGGGAGACAGAGTGAGACTCTATCTCAAAAAAATAACTAGTAATACTAATAGCCAACACTTATGTAGAATTATAATACTAATTATATAATTAGCAGTCTAGTTACCTGTAAAATAGCAATTAATAATTTTGGGCAAACCAGCTATTAAATGTAAAATTCATGACATACAAACTTCTTAAATGCTAATGAATAATTACAAATTAAATTCCTGTTTAACTTTGGAAGTAGAAAAGTAAACATTTTTCTTTTGTTTCTTAGAGAACCTTGTATACTATCTTCCCACGTGGTGCTCAAGAAAAATATGTATTACTGAAAAACATAAATACACATACACACACCAGAACACAAGAAGAACTCTAAATATTATACCTGTATCAGCTTCATGTTCTTTATTCTCATCTGTAAGGGGGTTGTCATGAAGCTTCAGATAGATCTCTATAGCAATTCTTGCTGCCTTGAAGTAAAATGGATGCTGCCGAAGTACATCTTCTAGTTTTAATAAGTCCACATATGATCTAAGGGTAATCTTCCTCATACAGTATGTATGAAAGTCAAACTGGTCATCAGTGATTTCTATAAAATGCTAACAAAATTATCTTTTTATTATTATACTGAAGTACAGCAATGGCTAAGAAAACTATAAAATAAAAGCCTTGGAATACTTGTTACTTTGGCATGAAAAAAAACTAGTAAAATAAAAAGAAATAAAGAACTACAATTATTCAACAGGAATATTTTGCATTTCAAATAAGCAAATACAGTTAGCCACTGTGTAGCACAAGATATGGCACACTGCAGGCACTGAATCATTTATTAAAAAGTGAAGCTTTAAAAATATATTTATTCATTATCTCTTCCTTAATTACACTTAAAGCTATTGTGACAATATCAAACATAATTTATTAGCAGACATAGTAGTGCAATAAAGTAGATTCAGATGTTAAACACTTGAGTTTTTATCTTCAGAATAATTTGCAAAGGATTATAGTATGTATTTGGTAACTTTTTTTGAGGATACAAATCTGAATCCTAGGCAATGTGATGCTGGTATGTGGAAAAGAAATCAATTAGCAAGTAAGTCAAGCAACCAGGAACTTAATGCATTTCAACTAACCTTTGGTATTCTATACTTGGCAATATTATAAATGTGTAATTAGTTATAAAAACTATGTTTATCTGTGAAAAACACAAAAAAGAAAACCAACCACTAGTCATGGAAATTAGTCAAAAGTGAAGAGGATTAAGAAAACAATGGTTTTATCGAAAAACATGAAATTACATAAGCTATAGAAGGAATATTGTGAAAAGTCTTTAACATTTATATCTTACCAAAGGTATATGGTCATCAATATACTCTACAAAAAACAGCGTCCTAGGAGTACCTTAATGAGCTTTCTTTGTACTACTGAAGAGGCAGCAGCAATTTGAAAGATTCAAAAATCAATAAAAACAGCCAAGATACAAAATTTCCATAAAGTTTTTAAAAAGAATCCTTACAGAAATAATAGACAATAGAGATGCTGACTGAAAATGTAGTCTATATATTTCCAACATAAAAACTGAAAAAAGTGAACACTGATTTTAAAAAGCAACTATTATGAATGATAAAAAACTATAAAATTTGTCCAAAACCATCAACAGAATAAAACAAGAAACTTTTATGTAGAAAGTACTTACTCTCTCAATCTCATGACATTTCTTAAGTGCTTCACCAAATTTATTCATTGCTTTATAAGCCTGGGCACATTCTGTTTGGAACCACATACACTGCATTTCATTCAAATTCTCTACTGCTGATGTTCCTTCCTATACAAAAATCAAAAATATTCAAAATCATTTTTTATCCGACATCACTCTACCACAGGATTTAAAAAAAAAAAAAAAAAAAATTTTCTGTTGAATTTAACTCTTTAAAATTTTTTTTTTTTTTTTTTTTTTTTTTTTTTTTTTTTTGGTTTTGTTTTTTGGGATGGAGTTTCGCTCTTGTTACCCAGGCTGGAGTGCAATGGCGCGATCTCGGCTCACCGCAACCTCCGCCTCCTGGGTTCAGGCAATTCTCCTGCCTCAGCCTCCTGAGTAGCTGGGATTACAGGCACGCGCCACCATGCCCAGCTAATTTTTTGTATTTTTAATAGAGACGGGGTTTCACCATGTTGACCAGGATGGTCTCGATCTCTTGACCTCGTGATCCACCCGCCTCGGCCTCCCAAAGTGCTGGGATTACAGGCTTGAGCCACCGCGCCCGGCTCAAAATTTTTTTTAAAACATTCTTAGAGTAAAAGAGAATAGTTAACATGTGAAAGCAATTGAAATTCTCTAACCACTAAAAATAATTTGTAGTTCACAAGTAATTAAACAAACGGTCTACATAATTGAGGGTAGAGATTAACTTAAGAATACCAACACAGAGCAGGTATTCAATAAATATTAGTTAGTTCCCTTGGCCCCTAAAAAATTCATCTAAAATGCATCAATATAAACCAGTTTCAAAGTCCATTGCACAACCCTCTAAAAGGAAAATACTTTATACCAATGTTGACTCCAGTGTCTTCTGGTTTAGGGATTTAATTAAAATCTTGGCTATTTTGGTGTTGAAAATACTAAAAATAAACTTTGAAAAATAAGCATGGTATACAAGTATGAACTGGTTCATGTCTTCTGTATTGATAATTAAGAACACTAGCTGTACAAACCCTCGTAAACTTTGAGCACATTTCTTCAGCTTCTTTAATCAGATTGGCTTTTAGCATATATTTTGCACATTTGGAGTTGATAAATCTGTCTGCTGTGTCCAAGGCCTGGGCCTCATCCATCCACCTTGCAGCTTCTTTAATATTTCCAGCGTGCTTAAAAGGTACAAAAGCAAAATAAACCGTTTAGTATGCTAAGTTTACTGTGGCAGGTAATTCATTACCTGTTGATAAATAATTTAAAAACAAAAGTAAAGGCATTCTTCTGACTCTTCGATGCTAGTCAACATAGAAGAATGCATTCTTCCATAATATAAGTTCTGATTCCTTTTTCCAGCCATCAAGAATATAAGCTGTCTAACAATAAAGACTTATTTTAACAGTTTTGTCTACTGTTATATCTCCATTGCCTAAAAAAACTGCCTGGCACATAGTAAAAATACTCAAAAATAATTGTTAACAAATAAGACCAGGTGCAATGGCTCATGCCTGTAATCCCAGCATTTTGGGAGGCTGAGGCAGGTGGATTACCTGAGATCAGGAATTTGAGTCCAGCCTGGCCAACATGGTGAAACCTCATCTCTACTAAAAATACAAAAATTAACTGGGCACAGTGGTGCGTGCCCATAATTTGGGAATTGCTTGAGCCCAGGAGATGGAGGTGGCAGTGAACTAAAATCATGCCACTGCACTCTCCACCTCCATAAAAAGGAATAAATAATAATAGAAATGTTTAAGTCAAAACATAATTCAATGTGAAAGTCATAAAAGGCAAATGGATGGCCAAAGCTCTACCTTAAAGGAACCATGTAAATATTACTCATTAGGACCATTAGTAGACATTCCCCAATGATCCTCATTCTAAGTTACCTAACTAGCCCATTTGGCAAAGCCTCAAAAACCAATGAGCCACAATCTGCCTTTTAAAAGTGCTTCTTTAGCTGGGTGAGGTGGCTCATGCCTATAATCTCAGCACTCTGGGAGGCTGAAGAGGGTGGATCACTTGAGGCAGGAGTTCAAGACCAGTCTGGCCAATATGGCAAAACTTCATCTCTACAAATAACACAAAAATTAGCTGGGTGTGGTGGTGCACACCTATAATTCCAGCTACCATTCTGGAGGCTGAGGCATGAGAATTGCTTCAACCCAGGAGGCAGATGTTGCAGTGAGCCAAGACTGTGCCGCTGCACTCCAGCCAGGGTACACTCTCTCTCAAAAAAAAAA